CGGACAGATACACAGACAGACACACAGACAGACAGACAGACAGAAAAAGTTTTTTCCGACCAGACGGAGTAATAGGCTTCGCTAATCGCTCAGCCAATGAAAACCGTTACCAAACAGCAGAAGTTTCTTATCCATAATTTTAGAGTAATAAGACCCCTACAAATGGTTTTAGTATGTGAAATTTAGGGCCCGGAAGGCCCTGGTCCCCTATACCCTCCCATTTGCTCGTCCAGGGTGTCAGCGCCGCAGGCCTAGCTATATGTGCGCCAGGCGCGTCGCAGCGTAACAGTGTTTCGTGAGATATCGCGAAGCCTGTTACGCGAGACGTGGTCTGGCGTACTTACAGCTAGTATTTTTATCGATTCCTGATCGAATCCACAACAGTGGTTTTTCGCTTCCTTTACGAAAGCTGGCCGTGAACGATTTTCGTTTCGAGGAAAAAAAATAGTATACCGATAGAATCATTTTTCTCATTTTGTATATCGCACCGATGGTTCATATCTTTTTTCTACTGTTGTCCGACTGTCGTACGACAGTTATGTGTTACTAGGGAATGTAAGTGGCATCGATGATCCTCAAGATAGAGAATGTAAATATTTTACAACTGTGAATATTTAGTTCTCTCTGCAATATTTGTATGGTGTTAGTTTTCATCTTACACTTTTGCTTTAGTTGGTGCTAACCTCTTGATTGATCCAGTCAATGGCAATGATGACATCGATGATGGCAGGCAACCTGGGCAACCAATCAATGTCAACAATATCGCTGACAACAGGGCTCCAATCAGATCAAACATAGATGAACATGACGAAGAGGGTATGAGCAACTGTGCTGGGTGTGTAAACCCGCCTCAACCATTTAGAGTGCTGTCTTTCTAATATTTTAATTTTTTTTCAATTTTCAATGTTACTGATGGACCTAACTTAAATGGCCATGATGAAGAAGGTGTGAGCATTCTATCGGTATACTATTTTTTTTCCTCGAAACGAAAATCGTTAACGGCCAGCTATCGTAATGGAAGCGAAAAACCACTGTTGTGGATTCGATCAGGAATCGATAAAAATACAACAGAATTGTAGATGGTTTAAATTTGATATACCAGCGACAATCGTCTGACTACGGAAAAGCCACCACTTTTGGATTTTCGTTATTGTCACAATAATTGGACGATAGATAAAAATCACACTATGTGCGACAATCTTGTGTTACTAGGGCTAGCACAAATTAAGGTGCCAATGCCAACCTTCTTGAATAAGTTCCCACGAAGTGTCTCAGAATTAAGCCCCTGGAAAACCCTTCCCCTACACGGCAATATTTATCCGAAACCTGTGCGGGTAAAGTTACGCTCGCTGAGTGGGATCCGCTGCCCCTCTGCACAGCACTTTTTGGGGGTTCTGAACTCAAGACGAGGCCAGGGGGAGACTGACAGGGTACGGTCTACGATGCCGTGCTATACCGGCCCCTTCACCATCCCCGCTTCGCCCCTGCTCCCTAACATATGTTGTTACGGTCATTGTTTCATTCCCATTCAGGGTGGTGCGCCGGGGCCCTCGGCCGGCCGGCCCAGTCCGGGCGAGCCTGAGCGGCAAGGGGGCTCTGGGGCTCTCTCAGGCTGTCTTGTCACGTCTAACTTACGTCGAAATAGAAGTAGAACTTTTATTCAAAATTGTCAGTGTGCCTAAATATACCGGTTGGTTTATTGGAGTGGCCCAAAAGATAATAAAATAAGAAGAAAATACAAAATTTTTTAACACATAAAGAAAGAGGATGGATGGTTGGAATGGGGGCGGGGACCCGGCGTGAGGTGAGCATCGGGTGGTGGCGGGGCATGGCTTAACAAAGGCTTAACGAATTCAGGTCCTCTGACTGCAAGTACTCATGTCAGTACAACTACTCAAATTGGGATCTGGGTGCCAAAAAAACTCGGGCTATGAGTCTATTGATGCACTTACAGACTTACACCCTGTTTGTACGCCAACTTTTGCTGATTTTATTCTCGGCTCCGACGGGGCAGCGGATCCCACTCAGCGGGCGTAACTTTACCCGCACAGGTTTCGGATGAATATTGCCGTGTAGGGGAAGGTTGGGGCAACACGCTAACGTAGCCCTTTTTGTCAATTTCCACCTCAATAAAAAGTTGTTGTGGACGAAAGCCGACGTACCATAGGGCGTAAACCAAAAATCGCAAAAAAAAAAAAATGGTGCAAACTGGTGAGGGATACAACCATCTCAGACTCGCATACCAATTTTGGTGTCGATATTTCGAACCGTTTGGCCGTGGCGACGAGTTGAAGAGCGCGCGGAGTGGCGCTGGCGGTGCTGCGGAGGGACCCCGAAACGGCTCGGCCAGGAATTGTATCCCGCCCTCTTAACGCAGTGTTCTAGGGGGTAACTCGTCAAAGTAGTTTCCTTGGCCCCAAAATTTTGTCCGTTTTGCTCTTTTTTGTACCGTTAAGGTACAAAAGGAGGTATATGGGACAAAAAGCAGTGTAAGGCTCAAGTAAACCCCTAGTAACTGTGAGGTTCAGGAAAAATTTCAAGTGCCATCCGATTTCTACATTAATAACCTTCAAATATTTCAAGTTTCAACGACATCGGACATTTACACCTAAAAGGTTTCCGTGTTAGTCTTCTGGTAGAAATAGCCGATAGGACTGTTCAAAAGATCGAGAAGTAGTGTTTTCGTCTTATTTTAATTAAATCTAGGAAAACTTCAAAGCAGACGTGCACAAGACTGCATTCATCACGTAAAAAAACTTTTAAGCCCCAAACACCAGCTGCATTCGGAACGCCAAGAGCAGATGAAACCAAATCATAGTCGAACGTCATGTTTCTTCCTGTGTATATTGCCTGTAACATTTCAAAGATACGATTTGGGGAATAACATTAGTATGTCAGACAGGAAATATTTTTCGTTGCAGTTACCGGTGGCTTCCCTAGTAACACATAACTGTCGTACGACAGTCGGACAACAGTAGAAAAAAGATACGAACCATCGGGGCGATATACGAAATGAGAAAAATGATTCTATCGCTTGTTCTATCGGGATACTATTTTTTTTCCTCGAAACGAAAATCGTTAACGGACAGCTGTCGTAATGGAAGCGAAAAACCACTGTTGTGGATTCGATCAGGAATCGATAAAAATACAAGAGAATTGTAGATGGTTTAAATTTGATAGACCAGCGACAATCGTCTGACTATGGAAAAGCCACCACTTTTGGATTTTCGTTATTGTCACAATAATTGGACGATAGATAAAAATCACACTATGTGCGACAATCTTGTGTTACTAGGGTTCTAAAACAAGCTAGGCCCACCCTGCTTCCGCCAAACGAAGCTGCCTGCTTCACTTCACTCTGCAAGCAACTCCATCCGTTCGGCAGTGGCCGGCCCTAGCTTGGCACTGGTGTAAATCTCATCAGAAAATTAACTATGAAAAAATACTATAAAAAAAGGTAGAATCAGTTATTTGTCTAATTCCTGATACAAAATTCGACGTTCCTGAAAGCTTAGCCTGTTGGTATTGTTTTTAAAAGTAAATTTGGGCCCTGATTGTAAAATGCTGATAGTAATTGCGTTCTGATGGAAAACGCAGTCTGATGTTGAAAGCCCAAGGGAAAAGCTTCAACGTCACCCGTGTAAACTTGCAGCGCTGAGCACAATGGTGGTGTCAAAATTTTCCTATCGTTAGCCGGTCTGCTAGAAATAACTTCGGAAATAACGAGGTGATAGAGGTGATTGTGTTTTTATGTAAGCAAAGGATAAAAAAGGTCATCCTCTCACACACTGCAAAAAAATTTGACAGGTGATGCGGCTAATTCATTTTCCAGAAACGTGTGTTATTCGAATAACAGCATCGCTGTAGTTTTAATGGTTAAAATTTGGTACAGGGAGCAAT